TCCGTTAGAGGCGGAAATTGGATTACCACAATTTTCAGTCGCACGCAGACTGATAAAACTATCGAATTTCATTTCTCAATGAAAGTTGCGTAGAAGGCAAAACTCCCATACACTGAATCGGGTTTTCCTGAGAGACCTTTGGACACATTATAAAATTTAATATGCTCAATAAACGACGTTATTTAATTGTTTTGGGGTTTGACACCTCATAATGCTGGCCGGAATCCGATGGGTGTGTTTCACAGCAGCGAGTTGAGAGTCTCACGCAAGTCCGCAGTATTACTGTTTGCTCGCTGCAATCTTGTATGTCATCGCTGAGTTGTAATGCCAAATATTGATCTGTATATTGGATGGCGACCCAAGAATAACTCTATGAAGTAATTAGCCACATCCAGAATGTAACCTGCGGGGAAGTGACGTTGTCGCATGAGATAATCTGTGGTCATTTTATGGTGGTGATCCCAGGAAAGGTGTCAAGTGTGTCTTTTGATATATTCTGGTCGCCGCACTTTGTGCGCAATCGGATATAATTGTTGTGTAAACAGTTGACACTTTTCCTCCTTCTTCCTCGACACTGTCGCGAGTCCATCTCCTCTAAGAGACCAACAATCGCACACACACACACGCGCCACTCCGCGCGGCGTGAGCGGAATAATCATTTGATGATGGGCGAGATGAGCTGAAGGAAGTGACCGATTGACGTAGATGCCAGCATGCAAAAAAACCCCGACGTGAAGCATAACATGAACATCTTCCAAAAGACTGATAAAATTGTGTTCACGTACAATTGTGGTTAGGGTAAATCACAACCTTGTCACTAAATAGGATCTATGAAATATGACTTGCAATTAGATTTTACACAATCAATTGTTTAACTCTTAAAATCCCCTGGCGTTTTTTTTGGGCCGCCACGTCTTTTCGGATATTCCGTTCATTCATTTCTGTACGACAAAAGACTTTGCGGATACCTTCAGGAATATTATGCGCAAAAGCATCCTCTGGCTTTACTTGGAATGATGTTAAGAGGTGAAGCATCACGTTATGAGGCTGAAGGAACTTGAGAGATAATGATTTATGAAAGAAGGCAATTTGTAGGGGAATTTTTAATACTTCACACTTTACACATTACTTAAACCACTTGATGAAATCATGTTAATTTGCAAGAAAACACTGCACACTCTCGCCAATGGCATTGCTGGCGATTGCCTTCATTTGCATTAAAAGCTCATATAACGCATAATATGTAGGTAATGGTTTGCATAGAATGACGCACATCTTCACAATTAAATTTCACTAAATACACCAACATCTCTGAAATGTCAATGCAAAAACTAGGGCTCTATCGCTATCAATCTTAAACCATTCCAACATGCTTTTTACAGCGATATTATCATCAAACTGATCGTTAGAGCTTCGATTCGCAGAAAAATACACACCAATTAACACTGCATGACCACATGATAAAACAAAATGCATGGATTTTTTTTTCAAATTCTTTGTCACTCCTGCAAAACCAACGGGATTTTCCAACATCACTCTGATTCCTCAGTCAAGTCATAATGAGTCACTTCGGTAATGCAAGCTTGTGCTTTTGCACTAAAATTTTTATAGAAATCCGATCAATTTGCTCAATTCTTGCTATCAAAATATTCTTCCGTTTAAGTTTCGACGTGTGAAAGAAATCTGTTCAATGACGTTCTATTGATTGTAAGTAATTGAACTGGCTTTGATGCGGTTTGAAATTTTCTAATTATTAAATTTCCCAGGCAGGTCGATTGGTGGTTCAAAAAATTCAGCTTGCATTCAAGTTTGTCACATAATGAATTATCCCATGACACCAAATTTTTATTCCAAGCTTTCCTGCTCTTCCATTTCTCTTGTAGATCAAGAAAATATGACTCGTCTCTACATTAATTTTGAAATGTGTTCAAAAGGCAATTTCTGAGCCAATTATTTTCCTTTCAAACTCACAAATATCAATTGATTTGATTCGATTTCCATTCTTCCAAATGCACAGTAACTTCTCACTGTGCGTATGAATATAAGTCCGCGAAGCACAGCCTCGGGGAAGCGGAGAAAGTTCAATCTCACCATCGGTGACGTAAAAGTTGAGGAATTTGCACCAAAGTTCCGGTCTTTTTTACAGCACACGCAAAGTGGCTAAAAAGAAGTCTGCAATATTTCTTAAGGTGTTGAAATTCAAGACACCATCAACGTGTGGCAAGTCTGGCCAAATGAAGCGCTTCCCAGAGTGCGGTTCATCATGTAATAATATGTGCTGTCGGCCACGTACGCCTCAATGGAATCAATATAGTCACCTATAGAGTTTTCGTGGCAGAGCCTCTAAGGTGCACGATCGGCATTCCACCTGGATAATTTGTAAAATCTGCGCCTCGTGGAGAAATTAATGAGAATTTACAGAAATTTCTGCGAAATTAACCAGTTCATCATGACTCGGGAATTACTCAAATTAGAGGTCGTTGCGATGGTAATTGCTGTGGGACTTTTTGTCGCATTCGTCAGAGGTTATTAATCATACTTGCAGTTTGCAAACATTCGCTCTTTCTGCTATATTTTGATGACATTCCAAAAGCGGCCGCTCATGACATGCAAATAATATCACATTGAGGTGACAAACCTGCCGCATTCCCTCCGCAGTCTTTGACTAATTCCACAATGACGATAGAGTTCGTGCGTCAATGAGGCTGCCGTGCACCTACACCTTCTGCCAGATTTGTGCACTTTCGATCATCTCATTAAGGTGTCCATTAGTGCTTATTACAACTTGAGTATTTGGCTGTTTTGAACAAAAGACATCAATAGCCCAAACAGCGAACCCCACAAAACAATCCATCTTGGTCTTTATTAGCTTAAGTTATAAGCTTGGGCTAATGAAAATAGAATTAAGTGAAAACTAGCTAATTACAGTCAGTTTGTTCTTCTTATATCGAACACTCAATCCCTTTCAGTGAAAAGGCATTTTTACCAACATTTTCATACTTCTAAGAAGCATAAATACCATGTAATTGGTTATTTTCCAACAATATAGTAATCAAATATCCTAATTTTATCCAAATATTTCAAGAGAAAAACAACACATGAGTAATAATATTTCCATCATCGCAAACATGAAAGAAACGCTATATTAACATTCTTATTGGTTTATTTGCACTCGTAATAGCGTCAGAAACGGACTGCTAAGTAAGAAGATTGCTGGGAAACTTTGAAGAAAATCAGACAATTGGTCATATGAATGAAATTCATCATCCAAAATTCACCAAAAAACCATTCATATACTCAAATTCTCTGCAAATATTAAGACTTTTCCCATTTATTTATTCTTGTTGGCGAATAAACACGATTTACCTGATGATTCTCACTGTTGTATGATCACAGTCAATAGTTTTTTTTTATACACAATACTTTAAAATTATTGTAGCACGCGCTTCTCGTTTCAAATCTCCAGTCTTTTGTAGTAATATGTGCAGAAATGTGCACTTTGTTGGCTGGTTTGTAGGTGAAGTAGCATGAAAGCTTGTAATAAAGTCATATCCACTGTTCTTGTTCAATCAACTCAGTGCCCAGTGTCAACATTGACTCATCGCACTGATCATTCCATTGCCTGCGGTGCTAAAAAATACCATTTAGATATATACATGCATGATGCTGTCTTGTTTTGAGGACAGTTTCGATACTCTATAGAAATGCTCAAGATACGCAAAGAACTCTAAAAAGAATTACTCGGCAAATTGCAATTGGCGGAGACATCTTTTGTCAAAATTGCGTTAGTTGTGGCAAGTGTTGGTTCGCATTGAAATCGATTTTCCTGGATTTCACCTAAATAACTCAGGCATTATTCAATTCCACGACCATGAAATGGGATATTCGTCATCTTCAGGTATTTTATTGGTCGTTGCGCTTTGTTTTATTGTATTTTGCAAAAATCGCCATGCAGCAAACCGTTGAACCGCAACTGACGTGAATTCAACCTGTGTTGCTACCTCACCAAGATATTCTAGTTGTATTCTATGCAGAGATGACACATGAATCAGAATTCGCCATAAACAATGTGAGAGCATTAGACGCTCGATTGCGGGTTGTGCAATTCTGTAAGAAGCCGTAAAATTGTATCGCGCGCAGGAAAATGACACTCTGCATGTTAATAGTGCGATCGGCTGTTTGAGTAGTGACGTAATCCGGGGAATCCGTGGCATAATCGCAGCGCTAGGTAACCTGGGCACACATTATATTATCAGACATAATGGGACGTAAAATGTGTTGCCTCTTCGCTGAATTGAGTGCCTTGGAGAGATGCATTGGGTGTAGTTGGAGTGCGATAAAGGTGCGATGACTGATACATTTCGCTGGAATTCGGTGCAGTTGCATGCGACTCGGTGGACTAGCCGGTCGCGAGTGTCTCGAGCCGGCGCTGTCTTGTGAATGGAACCACTACAAGCAGGTGAGCCCCACTCCGCGTCGAGGAGCCTCTCAGGCCACACACGGCCAAAAGCTCTTTCATCGTATTGGCTGAGATGGATGGGCAAAAAGACCGTGTCGACACACACCACTTCTTGCAGTGCACTCAGGTGGTGTGTACAGGTGTGACGGCACTTCCCCGCCGCTGCTCTTGGACTTGATGGATGCGCGAGGTGAGAGTGTGTGCCTGAAAGAGCACGTGGTGACAGCCCGGGAGGGGGCGTAGGAGATTCGCGCGCGAGAGATTGGGGGGATGTCGGGCGGTGTGAGTGTTGGCCAGGTGAGATGGCAACGTCTTCGAGGGTGACGCCGACGACGAGAAATGGCGGGAGAGCCAGCCTGACCAAGCATGTAGTCTCGCACTGGACGCGCACACACTATTCGGAGAGTGAGAGATTGCGACACAGTTGATTGTTGAATATAAAAAGCTTCAAACAACAAATCGACAACAGTCTTACACCAACAAGAAGAGTATACAGAATTCAACGAGTGGCTCTGAGATAGTAAGTTCTTGATCCCTGTGGAGCTTAAATTGTGGATTAGCTGTTGAGCAGAATTTACCTGTGCTGCCGAAAGCGGTTCCAACTGCCCTAAGAAGTAGATTTAAAGTGGCTGACAATTTTCAACTAACTGCTGTGGTCACGAATATTGTCACAGAGTTTGAGGGACAGCAGTTGCACCGGTGATGCCTGGAAAAATCCCAAAGAGTGGGTAGTTTCACACATTTGCGGTACACTTCGACAATACACTTCAACCGGTCGTCCAAAGCAGCCGCAGCAGTGTAGACATTGTGACGAATTTCATCGTTAGTTGTAATCGGTTTGCCATACAGATCGCACAAAGTTAATCATTTGCGAGCCACCGGAGCGATTTGTTTGTTCAGTGAGAGACTTTCTACGGACAAGCTGTGATAAGGCTATCTAGAGTGACTAAGATGTGCCAAGTGAGTTGTTCGGATGAGGTGCACTTCCACCTCGAGGGAATGCTAGACAGAGACCAAACAACTGCACCCTCGCTGAGTTTGCGGAAGAACAGGCCGCAAAGATGCTGTGACTGCTCCAATTTGTCCGCATCCTCAATCAGCCAAACATCTTCCACATCGGGACATCCAGTGAATCGCTCGAGATTTCGGGCGAACGGCTTGAGAGTGAGAAGAAAATTGAGTGGAAGTAAGTTACATAATGGTGCAAGTTTTGTGGATAATGTGAGTGGAGGAAATGTTGGAAATTCCAGCGTGTATCACTTTTTTTTATGAATGAAACCAAAACGGAACTGTCTGTACATCGTGAAAAATCATCAGTCTGACGCACTCAGTCCTACAATCAACTTTTATTTGGTCATTTGCTCTCATTATTCTCCACTTGTAATTCAAAACATTGAGTTGACGAGGCATCTTTGCAATCAATCGCGATGACTAATGCGTGATGTCGCGAGTAAAATTTCCAGATCAGTCCAAAAAGGGTGGCAAGGATTCTCCTGTACGCTGTTTAAACATAAATCAGTTAACGTCGAATTATGCGTAGTAGTTTATTGATTTAATGCTTCTAATGTGTGTGATATCACGCCAAAATTCCACCCATTAAAGCCTCGTTCACTGTACATATGTACATATCTATTAACTAATAGCAAATATTGAGGGGAATTCTCCCAATACAGTGACTGGGCAAAAAAATCAAAATACTGTACTTGGAATTCACCGTGAGATAAATCATAATAAAAGTTTGGAATATGGTTATGAATGCCAGAGTTAATTCTGTATCATTATTTTTTATTGCTGTGAGCGTTGATCTTATAATTTGGTCATCTGCAAGAAAACACAAGTCGCATAGTGATAAACAGCTCATTATTAATCGCAAATATCACTGGATTTCATTGAATTCAAGCGTTCAATGAATATGCACTGAAAGAAAAAATATATATATTTATAGATTTCATACAAATATTTGTGTTGGAATTTATATAAAATAATTTCTATTTAAGACTCAAATTCTCAACCACAAAATATTGCGCTCTTACATGTTGAGGAATGTCTTTCAGGACACTTGAAAAACATTTGTCTCAGTGTTGGTAAAATGCTTTACTTCGCACAATGTATTTTCGTCTGAGAATTAAAGCTTGAAAGACGATTGAATTGTTCTCTTGAGTAGCATTAGAACTTCATGACAATTTGCAGTAATTTCTCCAATCCTGGGGACACCAATTATAACAGTAATATCATATTTTATGTCATCATGTGGAGATGGAGATGCTCGAACAACATTGTTAAGTCCACTTTGCTAATTACTGCATTTTGTTCATTCTATCGCTTTCCTTTTCTTGCCCAGAAGAGGCACTTTGTGCAGCCTCTCGATGTAATCCCGGGACAATTTTTCTCCCATGCGGAATTTACAAGAATGGTTAATGCGATGGGGCGCAAAAAGCGCCTCTATAAGAAAGATTTCAGGGAGATCTTCGTGTGCGGTTGCGAATTGCAGTGTAAATATGTCAATTAATTTAATTATTTGGTGACATATTATAAACATCCGTTTCTAATTGGTCTGTCGCACATTTTCTCCTCCCTGGCTTCTTTTCTTCACTGTGAGATCTCTTAAGTGGACGCAGTGATTGACATATCCATTGCAAATGTGTGATGGTGACCTTTTTCGCCAGCCCGGAAGATTTTGATTGTATTATGCTGAGATATAGGTGATGAAAGTTGTGCTTTTGTTTAAGAGTTGCAAATGTGTGGCCTTCAGTGGACTAGACAATTTTTTGCAGACAAATCTCCTCGCGATGATCTTTTTTTTCTCAACAACGCCAAGCTGACCTTCTTCGCAGCATCATGCAATCTCAACTGACTCAATTATAACCACAGCTTTTTCTGCATTTCTTTCCAGAAGTCAAGGACCTTTGTCTACTCCTCGTATTTGCTTGGATCTCCCTGAATATCCTGCCAGAAGTGACATCGAAGCCCATTAGAATACGACGCACAATGATCAGTGACATGAAGAACAGCGTGATGGACAAATTTCGGAAGGACGAGAAGAGGAGCGCCAACGATCTTGTCAACTTCCAGCGAGTGCATGAGCTGATGAAGGCGCACAAAATTCAAGTGAACATTACTTACAATGAGCTTAATCATGGCATTAAAGATTATGTAAGTGGGTTGCCAATATTCAAAATGCTAGAAGCACGCTTTGCTGATAAGACAGAAAGAAATTCTTAGTGCATTGTTCATCATAGTTGTGATGCCCGTTGCAATTTTATGTCGATCGTGTGCCTCTTGTGCACCATTTCCTTTCGGAAATTGCCCAGACGCCGGATCTATGATTAATATATTGCTCATTTGAATAATCATTTGCCGCACTAAACGCAGTGCCGACAATCAAGTTCCTCCTCTATCGAATTCAATATGTTTTCACGCACAATCGTGCGATCGCGTCATTGATCGTATGAAGCTATGCATAAAATTTGTTGGTGAAGAGAATTTCTTGCACTTGATTTTTACGCAATATCCCCACAATTGAACTACTTTTAATCGCTCAGGCGATTTATACGAAAAATCATACGATCATGATCGTACGATGGGCTCGACTCTCACTCTGCAATGTCGCGATTTCATAATTAGTCGTATGATACAGTTTGCTGAAACTTTTTCTTCACCTCTAATTATGCGTGCTTATTGAATTTACAGATTGACCAGGTGTTCCACAATACGCAGACCCTCATGAAGTTCCACGAGGCCTGGTCGTGGATGAATTTGCCGTGGCTGCACGGTGGCGTGGACATGCCCAAGGAGTTCCAAGAGAACGTCACGACGGAGTATCAGGAGCAAATTCGCTCGCAGGACTGGAGCAAGGCGGATAGGGTATGTAAAACATCTCATGCTCATCACTAATTGCCATCTAACATCGTCTTGTTCTCTGTGCAGCTCCTCAACAAGTTCAAGGTGATGTATGACAAGTACAAACGATTGGATATCGGCGTCCAAAGCATCAGTTATTACTACCAGAACACGGCCAGGGTCCAGAATAAGGAGTCAATTGTCCCGTTTATCGACAGAGTGAAGAATTCTTCTTCCCGGATTCTGTGCTCTCTTCACGATCTTATCGATGCTCTCAACTATGATGAGGCTACATTTGAGGCGAGTGACTCAAATCCTGTGCCTCAGGACTTGAGGACGGAGAAAAACAATCCTGACCTGCACAATTGGGTTATCCTGAGGGAGTACATGAACGCTCTTGAGCTCTATAGTGTGGAATTGAGAATTATCAGTGAGCAGATGCCGAAATCAAATGAAAAATCTGCCTGAAAGTTAATTCAACGAAGACGTTTATGCAATGGAAGAGCTTGTAACAGATTTTCACCGATGAAACATAAGATTCTTGTTTTTGTCTCAAGAATATTTTTAATTTTTGCCCAAATAAGCTCAAATTAAACATATAGTAGAGTAAATTATCACATAATTTTGTAATATATGCTTGTTACGCCCTCTTAGCCTTTTGTGTTAAACAAATTGTTACAAAATCTCCACCAACTTAACCTTGTGAATGTCATTTGTGACAATGGAAGTATAAGAAATATTGAGATAAAGGTTAAACTGTGATATATTTCTTTAAGAAAACATAATTATTGAGTCCATATTCAGTTATATTATTGTCATTTCATTTAATTTGCCTTTTAAATCCTTCCTAACTATTGATAATTTTATAGTGAAGTTTATTCGGAAAAATACGTAAATTGATTCCTGGCTTTATTGCAAAAGAAAGACGATGTATTAAGAATTCTCACAAAAAAACTTGGAATTAGTGGACAAATTGTAAATTTAACAAATATGAAACGAATCAGTATATGTAGAGTGTAAATTTTAGTGACGTATTTAGTAAAAATATTGTTGTTGTGAAATATAAATGAAAACCAAAGGAAAGTTTATCTTTTACCTTCCAATTTCAGCGTAAAATCGAAGAGCAAAGCTACCAACCCTCGCCAAAGGCTCTCCCTTGAAACATTGCAAACACCCAATAAATTATGTTGAATACAATAGTCTAATTTGCCATCATTGTCCAGTTGCCCTTGATGTGGAATGTTAGACAGGACAATTTAAGCCTCTCTGTCGTCTCAGCAGTCCATCGATGACCGCGTGAGGCAAAAAATTCTTCTGTTCATTGCCTTAAAGATCCTTTCACATCATGAGGTCCAAGTGAGATATTTGCAAAGTAAACTGTAAGTAATTTTGAAAATATATCCAAAATGTCACGCACTCAGCTTCTTAAGGTAATCCTTTTGCATATACAGTTAGCTTCTTTTACACATTTTTTGCACTGATGAGGCTTTGAGCCTAACAACGTGTCTCTGCTGTAAACTTTGCACACGAACATCTCATGCCCAGTAAGTTGCTCTCTATATTGAGTTACTTTATTGGTTTATTTATCAGCAGCCATGAGGGATGGTTGGCGTTGTAAAGAGACCCTGCTTTCATTTTATTCTTGCAGTTTGGTACAATTAAAAAATTGACTTTTGCACTGTTAACTATAATGAGGGTTCGCTGCATGCAGAAAGTCAACTACGCTTATCTCTTGGCCTCAAATCTGTAATAAATAGTTGACCTGAATTTGTGCCACCCTCGTGCTCAGCGGCCTATGTAATTATGAACAGTTTAAAATGTCAGGTCAAACTTCAGAAGGATTATATCTCTGGAGCCTGGAATTTAGGGTGGTTTTCACGGAAAATTTATGGATTTTTCAAAGAAATGCGAAATGGAAAATTGAGCTAACTTGAGAAGACATCACGTTAACACTGGGTAGACGTTAGCAATTAATTATCGGGAGTATCAGAGACAGTGTATTTTCTAGAGTGTGAAAAGGTCAATTTTCTTTTCAGGAATCACTGATATTTTATTGTTAGACATTAACCTCGTTGACGGTTGATAAGTTGCGGTATGATAGTTCCAGAACGAACTAATTAACTTACATCTCGAAATTTGAGCTTTTTTGCTCCAAATGTCAATAATCTTCTCGACCCCAATTGGCGCCCCATTACAGCTCGTAAGCCAGATTTCAACAGAGGGAGAGAAAGCTCCAGATATCATTAATTAGTGAAATCGCTTCACATAATTGCACAGCAGCACTAAGGAGATTCCTCCTTAGTTACGAAAGGGCTCAATGTTATTGTCCTTGTTGTTCTCCCGAGAAATCACAAAGGTTAGTTTTTTCTGGAAACTTGAAAAGCATCCCCAATTTTTCCCAACTGAAATATCTACATATATATCTTCTAATTTATAAGCGAGGATGGAAATTGTGTGGATGCTTTCAGGTTGTCGAATACAGAGGCACGAAAGGAGGCATGAAAGATGACGATGGAATTCTCAGCATGATCAATTTCACAGCTTCTCCTCAGGTAGATATGAAATAATGGTGTATTTGTTTAACTGGCACAACGAGGTAAAAAGTGGCCGTGAATAATTTAATTATAGGTCTCTGTCTGGATTTGTTAATAGGCAGCACGGACAAATTTATGTGAGTGTGCAAACATGGTGGCATATTTGTCCAAAAGCGGTTGCCAGGACTCTTCGTTCCACACACGTCAATAGGAATTGAGTTGCCAGCACCAAAAGGTACAGTGAATGCCTTTTTTTTTGCTCGTCACGAGTAAACCACCATATTTCATACGTACGATCTATCATAAAGCAATTGTCCTTGTCCGTCATGTTGCATGTCCCGAAAACGGTGTCTGATTTTACGGTGACAGTCGTAACTACCCCGCGGCGCAAGGATCGCCACTACAGCCCCTCAATTTCCCAAATATTTTGCGCTGACACCCACCAGTTAAACCACCAAGTAAATTATTTACCATTTCCTAGAACTCTTCACAATTGTACAGTCTTTCTCTCTGCATTTCGCCTCATATATCGTGTCGGAAATTGTTTACTCAAGAATTCTTCACGCTCTCCTAAAATTGAGAGAACTCCAAAAGGAAGACAGACCCACGAAAATGACAAAAAGCTGAAAGAAAGTAATGGTGGAATATCCCCAAATCAGATAATCGTGAAACGTTTCTCCTTGTCGCAATTTTGTTAAAAGAGCGTTTTTGAGCGGCATCTTGCAGAAATATCGATTATGAACTTAGGAGATTCATTATAATTTTGGGGGAACCTATTTTTTGGGGAAAAGACAACAAATTTCAAGTTCTAGAATTTCTGTACAGATTTAAGGCATATTTTCTCCCTCTTGATCTAAGCAAACAATTTAATTTTTCTAAATTATGTGCGCAATTGTGCACTAGTGGGATATTGACGTGCAAATATTTCAAAATATAATTTCCCACAAGACAGAGAATGAGAATGGAAGGCATTCTGGATAAAACCGCAAGAATTTCGGCAAGCCATTCTTTATGGGCAAATATAAAATCCCCAAATCCCACCGTGATTAGAATCTGAACCAGTGTTTCACTCCACAGAAAAGATGCCACACAAAGAGAAACAATCATCATATTCATCATATTTCTTCTGTGGCCACGGTTCTTTTTACCTGTCCTGTACATCCAATTCACCGGCAAATACAATTTTTTGCGAGATGCCAGCCTTCCGGGTGAAGAAACGTGTTATATGGTGAGCGTGGTGACCGTCACATAAATTTAATGTGATGAGGACAATTTGCCAAAGAGTATAGTTATCAGACTGTTAATTGCTAGAACGTGTCTTTCATATCAATGCAGAAGAGGTTCAATTGCCAACAGATTGTGCGATTCCTCGGGAAAAGGGACTCTCTGGCCGCCGCACAGGGCATCTTATAATTCCACCTGCAATCGGAGCATTATGCCAGTGCCATGGGAAATGTGGATATTGAGAAAGTGGCGACTTACATGCGGACAGTGGTCATATCGCTGAAATTTGTCGTGTTTTGTTCTGCTATGGTGTTTTCGAAATGAAGCAGTAAAAATTCTTGTGTCCCAAGATGACTTTGTGTGAACAGGAAACTTTATTCCCACCCGACATAACAAGTTTTACCTTTTCCCTGTGCGACACACGTGAAGTCACCGAGATCATCAGTCTCTTTTCTCTGTTTTTGGGCAGAAAGACCCACGAGTTGGAAAGTGATGATCCATTTTGTTATTATTTAAGCGCCGTTTCAACGCAAATAGTTCACACTTTTCGAGAGATCTCCTCTCTCTCCAACTATGTACACTGTGTCGCTTAAGGGCTTTTCAATCCCATCCAAAACGACAAAGAGCCAGAGACACTTCTGACCCTTTCCCTTCGCCTTGGCCATGGCTGGGCGGAGTGAAAGAGAGAGACACTCGATTAGGTTAATAGCTTGTACCAATATTGTCTTCCTGTGACAAAGAGAAACAATTTTTTCGCCTCTTACACCATTTGTTTATTTAAATTTTTACTATTATACACCAAATTATTGTATATTGTGGATGCACAAGTCCATGGGATGATGCATGGTGAGATTTGAGGTCCGCGATTTGTGTTTCTATTCCTCTACACTGCTAGAAATGGTGTGAATTGTGGTAAATTTGAGCTAAATGGATATTCGCCTCTGAATTCACACCGCAATTTTTTCTACTTATACTGATTAAAGAGGCCAATTCACGAATGTCCGCAATTAGCGCGCGGTTCAGCCCTTGTTTCGCAGTGCACAACGTGAATGTCGCGTCGTGTTGCGTGGGACGTCCTGAGATGGTCAAATACACGACAAATTAGGACTATGCTGAGAATGTATCTGAGTAAATATTGATGTGGCGATCAAAGGGGAGAAATAGAGGGAGAAATGTTGATGGATGGCGTGTATGACAAATGATAAAAATAAATAGCAATACACAAGTGGCGGGACGATCTGTCAATTGGAGGCAAAAAAGCACCCACAAGAGATGAGCATTCCTCTGCAACATATTTGACTTTGTCGATGGCATCATGAATAATCAATGAGGGCCACCCTTAGCGCCACCATTTAGATGGCAATTATCACACAAGTGATCACCGATCATCGTGTTGATCAATAGAAAATTTGTCTCTCGCTGGAGCAGAGATCATTCTGTAATTGATTCACTCAATTATAATTAAGTCCCGCGTGTACTAAAGACGATGAGGTGGGCAAATAAGATGATGGCAAGCGCGAGAGGATGAAAATCACAAAGAGAAATGGCAGAGAATGCAAAAGGAAGGAGATGAGAACTGATCGAGAACACGCATCATGTCGACTAACAACACTTTGTTGCGTATAGAGAGGGATTGGTTGGGGCTGCGGAAAGGAGATCATAAATCATGGTTCTCGTCATAAAGATTATTACGTGAAATTCACGGAATTTCGTACAATATTCGCGTAATTTCTCGCAAAATTCCTTGAATTCACGACCCCCAGACGAATGAAGATTGTTCATATATTATTTTCTTGCTCACCACAACTGATCACTCACTTCTTTTTCTCGCCACTTTTTTCCCTCCACCGTGCAAAATGAAACGTTCAATAATGCATCGACAGACAAGATCGGCCAAGTGGGGAATCTCCACTTCTTCCTCCACCATCCATTACCTCTCTTGCTCTCAGAAATTTATGCTAATTTATGACTCCAGGACAGAGAGGATCCTCCGGAGAAGATCACAGAGAAGATCGCTGGAAGAAGCACAGTGGTAGGCTTCCAGAGCCTAATAGGGCAGTAATTCTTTAGTGATGATTTCAGAAATTGATCACAACAAATTCCTTCATATTTACTTACCTTCTGGGTCAATTTCAATGGCTGTTATTTGACATTTATTGTGGAAAAAAGGACACGTGAAGCTTTCACTCACAATAAACTATTTTCAGTTTCCTCGACGGACGCTGTGCGCCTTGTGGAAATGTACAAATGGTTGGGGAACATTATATTGCCATCATGGGAAAAATAAACAGTCGCTCTCGCGAGTCCAGCCATCAAAAGTGGTGT